AGCTGAAATCTGGTAATGTATTCCAGTGCAAAGGTTCTCAAAGTGTGTCCTCATTAGCAATAGCAGTAGTGTCACCTGGGAACTTGTTAGAAATGCAAATTATTACCAAGACTTATGGAATCAGATACTTTGGGGTTGGGGTACAGCGATCTGAATTTTAATAACCCCTCCAGATGATTTTGATGCATGCTAAAGTCTGAGGACCACTATTTTAGTGAATGACCAGAAGTTAATAACCAGGAGCCCTGGGGTTTTCCAAAAATGTCAGCACTCACCTGTCAGTGAACTATTTTGGTGGAGGACTTGGAAAACACTTTCTAGCATAATCTACTTTTCTCAGAGAGTGATAGGGTGTCATAGCCACCTACATAGTTGCTGACACTAACAGGTAATATATTTTTATAATCTTTTATAACGTCTTATTTTGGAGCACATTTTAAAATTCCAGTCGCCTTGTTCTAAAATTCTATTGGATTGGTTCTGTCAGGCAATTAAAAATCCTGTTTGCTCCCTATCAGATGTACTCCCTGGCTGATAATTGTGTGAGCATATGTGAGTCCCACATTTTCACATATTCAATATTTTTTTCAATAAATAAATTTTTTTCAATAAATAAATCTATTCAATACATAAATTCACTAAATTTCAATAAATAAATTTATTCAATAAATTAAAAAAATTGAAAAAAAAAATGAGGCACCCCATTAATGCTGCTTCTTGGCCGTTTCACATTCAGAAAACAAATACACAACAAACTCACTCCAGTTTATGTAGCTGTTATCTTCAATAACTGATAGAAATCAGGTACTCTTGGGGCGCCTGGGTGGCTCAGTCAGTTGAGTGTCCGACTTCAGCTCAGGTCATGATCTCACAGCTCGTGAGTTCGGGTCCCGTGTCGGGCTCTGTGCTGACAGCTCGGAGCCTGGAGCCTGTTTCGGATTCTGTGTCTCCCTCTCTCTGACCCTCCCCTGTTCATGCTCTGTCTCTCTCTGTCTCAAAAATAAATAAATGTTTTAAAAAAAATTAATAAAAAAAAATAAACATTAAAAAAAAAAGAAATCAGGTACTCTTTAACGTGTTAATAACAACGACAGCTATACTTAATGCAAATACCTGCTGGCCTCAATAGCTTCGTCCCTGCTATTAGCAGGGCTTCCCTACTCCCCCAGCCACTCCTCATGTCATCATGTCATACCAGACGCTATACTCTAGAGGTACTCCATGTGTTTTCAAAAGGCAGTCTGTGCCTGTTAGTTCCCCCACTGCATGCTGTTCTCTGGTTCCTGTGCTCTCGCTTCCATTTATCCATCTCTAAAATCATCTGAAAAAACCTCAACTACTCCATAACATGTTACGAGAGTGTCTGTTCATACCAAGGACACTGGGTGTAGGTGCTATCAAAGCTTCCCATCCTCAGGGTGTTAGAAGAGCATCACATCATCGATAAAAGTAGGTGTAAACTTTGTCCCGGAAACTATTTCACCTGTGTCAGAATGCCTACATGGTCTCTTCTTGATCAGCTTTACCAGATTCTGGCCCCCAGTGCCAAAATCAGAAAGGATGGGACGGGAAAGAGACGCCATAGCTTATGCATCTCTCTCCTTCTCCTGTAACTCTTTAATTGCCTGAGATGTATTTGAGAAGTTGTGAGCTGAAGACAGATTTATTTTTTCCAGCATATCCTACATAAATAGTTTAGAATCTTGTACTGGAATGTGAGCATTGAAATCTTAATGTTTTTTGCTTAGTCTTCGGATGCCTGACCAAGGCAAAAGCAGATATATTCAATTTTAGCATTCTCTTAACAACTTCAGACAAAACTCCTTTCTCCTCTAAAAAACTGTTTATATCTCTATAAATTGAGGCAAACAAACAAGATACCAGTTTGTGAATAGTGTGTTAGTATTTCTTCATGTTTTGTTGTGGATATGTGGGTATCTGAACTATCAACATTCAGTTAAATGTGGCTGAAATAACACTGTCTAACATATACTAAGCATTCAGTATGTATGAGGCATTGTGCTAAAAATTACCTAATTTTGGGGTGCCTGGGTGGCTCAGTTGGTTAAGCGTCCGACTTTGGCTCAGGTCATGATCTCGCGGTGCGTGGGTTTGAGCCCCGCTTCGGGCTCTGTGCTGACAGCTCAGAGCCTGGAGCCTGGTTCAGAGTCTGTGTCTCCCTCTCTGCCCCTTCCCCCACTCATGCTTTGTCTCTCTCTCTCTCTCTGTCTCTCTCTCTCTCTTTCTCTGAAAAATAAACATTTAAAAAATTATCTAATTTTATGTTCCAAACAATGCTGTAAGTACTTTTCCACATAGAAAATTTAGACGGGCTGAGTACCTTGCCCCACTGATGGCAAATGCTGATCCAATCAGACCTAGATGAAGAGGGAAAACTGGATGTATCTTCCAGATGTTGCAGGCAGATAAGTTCACAGAAGAATTGTGAATGAGACAGATAATGTGGAAATGAAATTGCTGCACAAAATTTTGGAGTAAAAAAATCATGTTAGTTTTTCTTCTTTAAATTAATTTCTTCCAAGTTTTTCTCACTAAGAGAATTCAGTCTTATGTATTTTTTCCCTGAGGGTGTGTGGGCTATCCTCCCGCTAAAAGGTCTTTGTGAAGACTCCCAGGGAATGTAACAAAGAGAAACTTGGGAAAAAGTTCATAGGCCAAGATCCTGTAGTCCTCTATAAAGCGGGAAAATATGATGTTCTATATGTGAATCTCCCAGGCCACAGCACAAATAAACATTTTAGACGTACGTGTGGGTCCATTTACCTCAGAAGTGGAGTGCATGACTCTTTTGATGAGCCACTTTTGACTCCTTCACATTTTTTATTTCATCTTTCTAGAATGATCTAGGTAACATCTATTTGAAGCATGAGCTCTTGCAAACAAAAAACTGCTCTTTTCTTCTGCAGACAGAGATCCCTACCACCTGGACAGGATTTATCCAGAGCATGAAATGGCAAGTGCTAGTGACAAGGGCTGTCCTATCCAGACGCTTTTTGTAAGGAAAAGTAACCTTCATGTGGAAATAGTCAAGCCTCATTTTATTAGATTTCACTGAGTCTCTATCCCTTTTGGTTCCCTTCGGAAAGTATCTGTGTAGTTCTGATGTAGGGTGACCTGTTCTTTGGAACTTACTCTTCATCGAAACCAACCATATCTAAGAGGCATTATAAATAATTATTAGTTAATTACACAGTGAGGTAGAATTGGAAAATAAAATCACATAAGAAAAACTATTTCATAGGTAACACTGTCTCAGTTTATTTGGGCTATTATCAAAGAACACCATAGACTAAGTAGCTTATGAACAACAGAGATGTATTTCTCACTGTTCTCAAGGCTGGGAAGTCCAAGGTCCAATTACTGGCAGATTAAGTGTCTGGTAAGGGTCCACTTCCTGATTCATAGTTGGCTGTTTTCTTGCTATATATTTATTTTATTTTATTTTCTTATTATTTTTTTAATATATGAAATTTATTGTCAAATTGGTTTCCATACAACACCCAGTGCTCATCCCAAAAGGTGGCCTCCTCAATACCCATCACCCACCCTCCCCTCCCTCCCACC